TCAATCAAGAATCACCTCATTAATGAAAATAGATGATTTAACAAAAAGAATAGAAGAGATTGAAGAAAGAATGAATCAAATAATTGATTTCATAAATTCAAATAATCATTAGTTTCTTAAAGTTCAATGTTGAACTCATCAAATTCATCTTCATCATCATTACCTTTAGTGAGTTTATTTACTCTTTCAACTTTATCTTTTGATAGTCTTTCGTTTAATTTTTTCTGAAGTTTTTCGTTACCAAGTTCTAAAATTTTACATGGATGATATTTAAATCCGTTAAATTCTTTTTCCTCAGTTTTAATCATTAATCTACAAAGAACTTTAGTGAAAAGGTTTTGTTGTTTAAACCACTTATCCTTAATATTTGTTATAAATTCAATATCCGGAATTAATTCCCAAATTTTTGAATTTTCGATTAATTTACCATCAAATGCAAAAGCAATAGGTTTAATATTAAACTTACCTTTATAAAATAAACTTTCTATGCAATCATCAAAATAAACGTCTACTTGTTTAACATGGGTGAGAATTGGTGAAAGTTTATTCATTAATTGATTCACAGTCACGAATTTTGATTCACTCATTTTCATACGAATTAAAAAAATAAATTATTCAAAAAATGTAAGACATGAATTTTTAAAGTTTATTTTTTTATTTTTTTTATTTTTTTTTATTTCATTATGTATGGGTTTAGTGAAAATTTCTTACGATTCTGAAAATTTTTAAATCTTGATTTATTCAAAAACGTAAGAATAAAAACCGTAAAAATGGCGGAGGTTTTTGTGATATGGAAAAATGTTAGTTGCTCAATTATCTCACTATTGGATGGACTTTTATCGAGCGAAATTTTGGCTGTAAAGACAATTCTGATATTGGTAACATGGTGATAAGAACAAATAGTCAGTTTGCGTGGTTTATGATGAGATAATTTCGATTTAAAAAAAAACATAAAAATTGATTTTAATGAGCGATTATATTTGAATATGCTCTCCTAATTTGAAGGAACTGGTTAAATCATGAATTGATCATGAATAATTTTTTTTCAAAATAACAATTATAATTTCATATTCATTATAAGTTGAAAATATATCATAAAGACTTTATGAATGATAAATTCGTAAAAAACAAGTTAGTTTGTTTCTGAAAATAATAATAATAAAAACCAATTTAGACCCAATAATTTTTGGCGGGATAATTGAGATGTTACGATTGAATTAAAAAAAAAAGCGGTAATACATTTTTACAATGATGAAGAGGCTGGCAACCTCTGAGTCAAAGCACTTGTTAATGCAATGATGAAGAGGCTGGCAACCTCTGAGTCAAAGCACTTGTTAATGCAATGATGAAGAGGCTGGCAACCTCTGAGTCAAAGCACTTGTTAATGCAATGATGAAGAGGCTGGCAACCTCTGAGTCAAAGCACTTGTTAATGCAATGATGAAGAGGCTGGCAACCTCTGAGTCAAAGCACTTGTTAATGCAATGATGAAGAGGCTGGCAACATCTGAGTTAAAATACTTTTCCCAGTGTGGGAGTAATTTGAAAAAAAAAATTTAGTTCATATATTGAAAAAAACAAAAGTAAAAATTAAAGTTTATAGGTTGTGTTTTGATGAGCTAATTGTTTAAGATATTGTAGTTCTAAAGAAAAATTGGAGTTTCGAGGAAGTTTCTCGACAGAGGAAACTTTCATATCGAATGTTGCCTCTGTCGAGATGTATGTGACAGGCAAAGTGCAATCACCTATCAATATTGCACTTTGCCTGTCAAAAGTTCTTCGCATCTCTTGAGGTGTGAGGAAGTTTCTCGACAGAGGAAACTTTCATATCGAATGTTGCCTCTGTCGAGATGTATGTGACAGGCAAAGTGCAATCACCTATCAATATTGCACTTTGCCTGTCAAAAGTTCTTCGCATCTCTTGAGGTGTGAGGAAGTTTCTCGACAGAGGAAACTTTCATATCGAATGTTGCCTCTGTCGAGATGTATGTGACAGGCAAAGTGCAATCACCTATCAATATTGCACTTTGCCTGTCAAAAGTTCTTCGCATCTCTTGAGGTGTGAGGAAGTTTCTCGACAGAGGAAACTTTCATATCGAATGTTGCCTCTGTCGAGATGTATGTGACAGGCAAAGTGCAATCACCTATCAATATTGCACTTTGCCTGTCAAAAGTTCTTCGCATCTCTTGAGGTGTGAGGAAGTTTCTCGACAGAGGAAACTTTCATATCGAATGTTGCCTCTGTCGAGATGTATGTGACAGGCAAAGTGCAATCACCTATCAATATTGCACTTTGCCTGTCAAAAGTTCTTCGCATCTCTTGAGGTGTGAGGAAGTTTCATATTCAATTAAAATTACGATTTATATTTTTATTAACCATTAAACAAAATTCATTTAATTCTTCATTAAAATTTCAAATTGTATTTAATTTTTTAAATTTTCATTTTGCAAAATCCCTGTTTGATTCTTATTCTATATCTCACCTTGCATTTAATCCAAATGCTAATTACATTTCAATTAAACATTATCTTCATATACCTTTTTCACTTCTTCAAATTTAATTAATTTCTCTAACTTCTTTTTTTCAATAAATGTCGGCATTGGAGGATAATCAATAAAGTTTATTTCTTCCCTGTCCCCATTTATAATAACATATTTTGCATTTTTAACAATTTTGATTGTAATTTTCATTTCTTCATCTTCAAAATCATAGTTTTTAATGCAATACATATAATTATACCATTTTATGATAAGAGAAAAAACCTTTTCTCCTTCATCTCGATTTAATTTTTCGCATAATTCTTCCAGATTTTCAATTGTAATATAATACGAACCATCCGATCCCTCCCAAATTATACTTAATACTTTTTTTGTGAAATCTAATGCCATTTCACTCTTAAAATTAAATTTGAAAAAATTCTTATAGTATTGAAATGTGGTGATTTCATCAATAGAATTCCGTAATTCCAAACAACATTCAAAATACGTAATTTTCTTCCTATTTGAAATTTCAATTATTTCATCGATATTTAAAGTTGGAAGAGGCAATTTGAACACTAATTCGTTGCGTATATTACACTAGTCAAAAATACTTGATTTGATCATAGCTTCAATGCGGATATTATTCTCATTTGAATATTTCATTTCTCCACTTTGGCGAGTTATATAATTTATCTTGAATATAAGATTTAATTGCCTTTTGTACATGATTTTTTTTTTGCTTGGCGTAATTTATGAAGAATTTACAGAGTAATTGAATTTGGAACTGAGTAATTTCGTTTGAATTAAGCATATTAAGTAATTTCTCTTGAATGTTTTCAAGATCTTTATAAACTGTTCTAATTTGTCCTTGATAATCTGGTAAAAAATAAATTAATAGTTCAACCAGATTAAAAAAGTCAATTACATTCTTCTTATATAATTGAATAGATAATTCCAAAGTATTAAGTTGCTCAAACATATTACTAGAAGCAAATGTTTGAATTTCTTGAGCATTCATTGGACAATGATTAATTTTTTCTGCGATTCTTATAGGTATTTTCACTTTACAATTCTTACTTCTGTTTGACTCTCCATAAATTTGACTGATTTCGAAACTCATTCCTCTGCGAAAAATGTCACGTTTTAATTTTTTTCAAATGGAAATAAATCAGAAACTCTTTTTGTCTTTGACATCTCTAGGTTACACTGAAACTCAAGTAAGAAATGCTTTAGAGATCTCTAATAACAATATTACAGAAGCACGACAGCATCTCTTTACAAATGTTTTCTTAAATAATCAAGACAAAAACACTCTTCAGTATCTCAATGAAATTGAAAAAGATATAATAAATGATGAGGAACCAAATAATGAAATTCCCGATTTTATCGATTCCAAAGAGCTAATCAAATTTGTCGCTGGATTTGCATTTTGCAGATTAAAATTTTTACGTCAATCCATTAAGGTTATAACACACTTAATTCAGAAACAAGAATTATTTTTAGAATTCAACGATAGTGATGATTTTACTAAAGCATTTGTTCAGTCTGTTAATCAATATTTACATAATGATACAACTAATATATACTCACCATATTTCTCATCTTATCCACCACTGGATCACTCTTTTTATGATAATTTAATCAACGATTCATTAGATGTACCAAAATATAAGGGATATAATATCACTTTTATCGGAGAAGAAAAAAAACATTCAATTAAAATAAACGAAATTGTAATTCTATTTGAAGCTAAAAATACTATTGCAAAACTCAGGAATTTAACTAATTGTCAGAGGGCGATGATTTCAATCAGTCCAGATCAAGCTATTCGAGAAAAAGTGAATAAAATATTAAAGCTTACACCTGATTTACTTGGCAATTATTTATATCTCTATTGCAATGTATGTGAAGAAGTGCTTTATTATACACCACAGAAAATTATTCCACTTTTTGTAAAACTTTATAGAATAACATCTATTTATCAGCCACATTCATTCTATTTATCATTTATTATGAATTATTCTGAAACCTTACTATACGAATCAATCATTCACCAAAATGTCACTTTTTACAGAATTCTTGCATCACCAAAAAATGTTGAAAAAGCTTTAAAAAAATACGACGGTTTAGCAAATATTATGAAAGAATGCAAATGGATAAAAAGCCATGACATCCCCGAAAAGTATCAGAGTTCCGAATTTCATGATGTTATGTTAGATAAACATAATGTTTATATCGAATTTTCCAAAAATACAATAAATTACGATAGAAAAAAATCATCTCAATTTATATTGGCAATGAAATGCATTCTCAATTTACTTTGCAGCAAATTCTTGATTTTGTAAAACATATGCCATCATTTTTAAAGTTGAAACAAAAACATACAGAAAGTGGTATTCAAATTTTGATCTTAAATGAGGAAGATAAAATATTTGAATTGGTCAGTGAGGATTGCTATTTATCATTTTCAATTTATATTTGCTCAGAATGTGCATGTGTTAGATCTTATTTTAATATTGAAATGAAAAAGCATGTTTTAACTACAAACTCATCTCAAGACAATATTGAATTTGTAAATAAAATTCTAGGAAAAGAATTCTATTCAAGCTTCAAAAACAATGCACTCGATAAGACATTATATTATGAATATATAAATGATGTTAATCCTCACAGAAATTCAAATGATATTGCATATCTCTTTGATCTAATCCCTGGATTTGTCAAATATCATTCAATTAGTGATGAAATGCCAATCAAGTTTAATAATAGTAATATTCAATGGCTCTTATATCTCCATCCAGAAGTGAAACTTTTCATAGAAAATGCCCAAGCTATCGAACTCGACGCGACATTTCCACTTGATGATTATATAGCTATATACCCCCATATTATATATGGTAACATGGGTTTCCCGTTGGGTGTATTTATAGGACCCTCGGAGTCGGCAAAATCTTATCAATTGATTTATGATACACTTAAGACAATTGTTGATGAAAGTATTATCAAAAAAATCCCATTCATAAACGATTTTGGAAAAGGTTTGGAATCGTTTACATCATTCAACCATTTGATTGTGTATTATTGCTTGAGACATTATTTAAATCGATTGGGGCAGGCACCTGGATTTGTGCAATTGCGAGTACAATTGTTTTTGCGTGGAATATAAAAGAATATGATTATAAGTATGAATTATTTCTTCCAATTGTTGAGATTTACAAAAACTCAGGTGCCATCAATAGTGCGCAGTATGAAGCGTTTCTCGAATTAAAAACTCAGAAGAAAAATCTTGCACTCTGTTTGCGAAAACCAAGGATTTCGTGCTCAAACCATGTGGAAAGTTTTCATTCCCATAACAATGCAGTTATGTCAAGAGTAAAGTCATATGCAGGTAAAATGAATGAAACATTAAATTATATAATTGCAAGAGCAAATCAACTTCGAAAACCAGAGAATGAATGCGCATTAAAACTCTTTCGAAAAAACAAGAAGAAAAATGGGTCTATGAAAGAGGAGAATCGTTGTAAAACAATGATATGCCAAAAGTGCCAAGACAAAATGAAGATTTGGGAAGAGAAATATTTGACAACAATCCCTTGCCAGCACTGTGCCCATTTATATACAACGATAAGTCCACCTCCAGCCCTTAAATTCCACAAAATCAAAAAAGGAGGAAAATCTGAAATTGTGATTTCAGAAGTTGATAATCCAAAAGTGGCCGACCAGGCAAAAGAAAAGAATCCTGCCCCACTTCCAAAAGTGGATGATATAATAATTCATGATTGCCATATTCAAGATCTCGCTTCACTTGTTCAGGTTAAGTTCAATCTACGCGACATATTTAGAGCGACGTATGTGATTTACACAATAATACATAATATTCCGAATTTCTTCGAAAGTCGAATTGCGTATTCTGACTTTATATTAGAATCAATTCAAAAAATTGATATATATATCAAAGAACATGAAAATTTCCTTGCAACTCTAGAATGATATTTTAATAAAATGATTTGTATATCTAATTTTTTTATCAGTTCGAAAGACATTTTTAATATGATTTAAGGGTCCACTGTAAGGCCAAATAAGACCTATCGTCGTCCCAAAAATATTGCTCGAGATGGTGTTTTACTAAGGCTCAAAACTTAAAAAAACTCAAAAAAATTAACTTTACTCTTTTGAGATCCTTATCAGATGTGCAACAATTTGATGCAGTATTGCAGTTCGAATCTGATTTTTTAATGTAGATATACTCTAACATTCTTGAAGAAATGCAAAATAATATTAATTAAGCTTTTCATTTCTGTATCATACACGAAACAAAATCATTCATTATACTAAAATTTATCAAAGTTTGAATAATGAAAAAAAAAAATATATCTAAATTTTTACATTGAGTCTGCTATTGATATGGTTAATATTTGATTTCAAATAACACAAGTGAAGATAAGAAGGAAGTTTACCAATGAATTACTATATTAATAATGAATAATTTTTTTTAATAAAATTGAAGAAATAGAAAGAAATAGAAAAAAATAAAAGAAATATTAATATTGAATAATATTGTTAAGTATATTTGGTTGTATGAGTGAATTATAGTACAAATGTAAGTGAATGGTATATTGTTAGGCATAAATAAAATGAATGAATAAATTAGAATAAGTAGTTTGAAATTGGATGTGTATTTGATGTTTTGTATAATAGTGAAAAAGGGTGATAGATAATTTCTAATGAAATGAGAAAATGTGTGGTGAAAAGAATAAAATTGGAGAACTATGACCGACAAGAGTGTGTTATGCACTCTTACCGCTCTGCATATATCATTCCGGGAGATATTGCCTGTGCATGTCTCCCAGAATGATAGAAAGTTCCGCATTCATAACTTGAATGCGGAACTTTGACCGACAAGAGTGTGTTATGCACTCTTACCGCTCTGCATATATCATTCCGGGAGACATTGCCTGTGCATGTCTCCCAGAATGATAGAAAGTTCCGCATTCATAACTTGAATGCGGAACTTTGACCGACAAGAGTGTGTTATGCACTCTTACTGCTCTGCATATATCATTCCGGGAGACATTGCCTGTGCATGTCTCCCAGAATGATAGAAAGTTCCGCATTCATAACTTGAATGCGGAACTTTGACCGACAAGAGTGTGTTATGCACTCTTACCGCTCTGCATATATCATTCCGGGAGACATTGCCTGTGCATGTCTCCCAGAATGATAGAAAGTTCCGCATTCATAACTTGAATGCGGAACTTTGACCGACAAGAGTGTGTTATGCACGCTCATTTGTCATATACTATGCTTTATAGAAAACAACTTTGCATTCAATCGTTAAAATATAATTTTCCCTAATTAATATTTAAATTTTTTTTTGTGCTTTATATAACTTATGGCGTGTACCAAACTCTTTTACAGACTCTCCTGAGCTATCCTCACATATAAACATATGATAATAACGCATACATACTCACTTCATATTCTGATCTCATGACATATTACCGCAAAAACTATAATTATACAACACACCTCATAAAGTCTCATTTTACACGTATCTACACGTTCAAAACCTATTTTTCCCGCGTAATCTGATTCTTCAGGTTCCGCTGATTCGATTTCTGCTGTCAGATCGTGAAAATATGCATTACATAACAAGTTAAACGCAAATTACTTAACAACATCATTTTTGAAAAATCCACATTTTTCAAAAAATGAATGAATTCAAAAGTTTAGATTATATCAAGTCATAACCCAATATTAATTTTGTATTTTAGTTTTTGAGATATTCATTTTATTATACGCATTATTCAGAAAATTAAATATATTTGTGAGAGAAAACGGAAGATATAATAAATATCTCCTTATCTTGGAATTGGCAATTTGAAGAAAAATAGGTTTTGAACGTGTAGATACGTGTAAAATGAGACTTTATGAGGTGTGTTGTATAATTATAGTTTTTGCGGTAATATGTCATGAGATCAGAATATGAAGTGAGTATGTATGCGTTATTATCATATGTTTATATGTGAGGATAGCTCAGGAGAGTCTGTAAAAGAGTTTGGTACACGCCATAAGTTATATAAAGCAGAAAAAATTTTTTTAATATTGAGGTGATTTGATCATATTGATAGTGTTGTATTATAGAGTGTAATTGGGATGGAATTCTTTTTTATTTGTAATACATCTCGACAGAGGCAACATTCGATATGAAAGTTTCCTCTGTCGAGAAACTTCCTCACACCTCAAGAGATGCGAAGAACTTTTGACAGGCAAAGTGCAATATTGATAGGTGATTGCACTTTGCCTGTCACATACATCTCGACAGAGGCAACATTCGATATGAAAGTTTCCTCTGTCGAGAAACTTCCTCACACCTCAAGAGATGCGAAGAACTTTTGACAGGCAAAGTGCAATATTGATAGGTGATTGCACTTTGCCTGTCACATACATCTCGACAGAGGCAACATTCGATATGAAAGTTTCCTCTGTCGAGAAACTTCCTCACACCTCAAGAGATGCGAAGAACTTTTGACAGGCAAAGTGCAATATTGATAGGTGATTGCACTTTGCCTGTCACATACATCTCGACAGAGGCAACATTCGATATGAAAGTTTCCTCTGTCGAGAAACTTCCTCACACCTCAAGAGATGCGAAGAACTTTTGACAGGCAAAGTGCAATATTGATAGGTGATTGCACTTTGCCTCTCCAAACTCTCAAATATGCTTCTCACCATACATCAAACGGGCAAATTTCTCCTTAAATTTCTCTTTATTTGAAAGGTTTTCAACAAAGCTATACCTTAAAAATCTGTGCTTGTTATATCTGATCATTTGTGTGTTAGGGGAGGTAAATTTATTCCACTAGAGCAAATTTTTTCCGAGGTTTCTCATCGAATGAGAAACCTCGGAACAACTCTTCAATAGTGTAATGAATTTGTGGTATTTGTCCTGCAAACAGCGAGAGAACTTGTCTGTAATTCGTTTATGATGAAGTTATCTGGATGTCTCTCAGATGAGGAAGGAAGTCCAGAAAACTTCACCATAAGTTAATACTTGTGTATTTCTATGACTCTCTTCACGTCAGAGAATGTAAATTTACTCGAATAGGGCAAAGTTCTGCTCAAGTTTCTCATTTGATGAGAAACCTCGGAAGAACTTTGCCCTAAGGTAATGTATATGTGATTGTTGGCCCGCAGAGAAACAAGGAATCTGTTTGTATTTCGTTTATGGTGAAGTTCTCGGATGTTCTCTCAAATTATATGGAAAATCAAGATAACTTCACCATAATTTGTTGTAGTTGTGATTCTCTGGCTCTTTGCCGGCCAGAAAACTAGAAAATAGTTTATAGTGGGAGTATGCTCGATGAATACCTACTCACTAAAAATATACGTTATTTTTTGTTTTCCTATGGGAAAATAGTTTTGATTTTTATACTATCGTATGCTTTGTTATTGCATGAATTGTCTATTTTCTTAATAAAAACTCATTTTTCCGTGTGATTCTGAATCAATGCATTCCAAAAAAGCGTTTTCCGCCTTTGAAACGTGAAAACACACATTGCATGAAGAATCAGAGAAGATTTTCTATCTTTCAATTTTTTAGACTTATTGAAATTTGATAATAACTCCAAATTAAGCTGATAAACTCATAGAGCACATAAAATAACACATGCCTATCATATTTGAATTTTCTAAAAATCTCCAAAAAAATCGCGTTTTAAAAATTTCGTAGTTAAAAAGTAAATTTTTCACGATAAAAAAACTATAATTGGTTTTTTTTGGAATTCTTCGAGTTAGAAAATCTTCTCTGATTCTTCATGCAATGTGTGTTTTCACGTTTCAAAGGCGGAAAACGCTTTTTTGGAATGCATTGATTCAGAATCACACGGAAAAATGAGTTTTTATTAAGAAAATAGACAATTCATGCAATAACAAAGCATACGATAGTATAAAAATCAAAACTATTTTCCCATAGGAAAACAAAAAATAACGTATATTTTTAGTGAGTAGGTATTCATCGAGCATACTCCCACTATAAACTATTTTCTAGTTTTCTGGCCGGCAAAGAGCCAGAGAATCACAACTACAACAAATTATGGTGAAGTTATCTTGATTTTCCATATAATTTGAGAGAACATCCGAGAACTTCACCATAAACGAAATACAAACAGATTCCTTGTTTCTCTGCGGGCCAACAATCACATATACATTACCTTAGGGCAAAGTTCTTCCGAGGTTTCTCATCAAATGAGAAACTTGAGCAGAACTTTGCCCTATTCGAGTAAATTTACATTCTCTGACGTGAAGAGAGTCATAGAAATACACAAGTATTAACTTATGGTGAAGTTTTCTGGACTTCCTTCCTCATCTGAGAGACATCCAGATAACTTCATCATAAACGAATTACAGACAAGTTCTCTCGCTGTTTGCAGGACAAATACCACAAATTCATTACACTATTGAAGAGTTGTTCCGAGGTTTCTCATTCGATGAGAAACCTCGGAAAAAATTTGCTCTAGTGGAATAAATTTACCTCCCCTAACACACAAATGATCAGATATAACAAGCACAGATTTTTAAGGTATAGCTTTGTTGAAAACCTTTCAACGAATGAGAAAGTTAGGAAAAACTCTACCTTATAAGATCAACTATAGAATTCATAGCTCTTTGAATACTAGGAAACATTAATGCAGTAGTTTAAGGCAAAGTTTTTCCGAGATCTACGAAGGATAGAGAGATCTCGGAAGAACTTTGCTCTGCACAAGTAATTTCAGAATCTATGGTCCTCTAAGGACCAGAGGACGGTAATGTAAAAGAATGATGTCAATAGCAGATAAATAATAGCCTTAGAAGTTCAATACGTGCACAGTTTGACTACATTGCCCTAGTAGTTAGACTGTACAGGTATTGTACTTCTGGCCTAAAAAATCCTCATTGAAGACAATAGGTAGAAACTCAAATTGTTGATAAATATCCCAAAATATCATAAG